CGACCAAATCATCGACACTCCTTACCTCCAACGCCTCCTTTAGGCTTTAGGGTTTAGGGTTTAGGGTTTAGGGTTTAGGGTTTGGGGTTTAGGGTTTAGGGTTTAGGGTTTAGGGTTTAGGGTTTGGAGGGGCGTGGGCGCCTGGGCTGTGGGGAGTTGCGGTGGGATGGAGGCGTCCCGCTGTCTTCAGCCTGTAGCCTCTAGGCTTTAGGCTTTAGGGTTTAGGGTTTAGGGTTTAGGGTTTGGGGTTTAGGGTTTAGGGTTTAGGGTTTAGGGTTTGCAGAGGACGAGCGGAACTTCGTGTTGAGCGTGATAGAAAACCACACGCAGCAAACGGAGGTTTTGGATGACAAGCAGCAGCTGCTGTTCTTCGAAGCTGTTGGCCACATCATCTCTGCAACGCGTACGCCAAACCCTAAACCCTAAACCCTAAACCCTAAACCCTAAACCCTAGCGCGTCAGCAGCGCCTCCTGCCCGTAGTCGTGCTGCCCTTGCACCCGTACTTGCGTTGCTCTTGCTGCTGCTGCGGCCCTTCGATTGCTGCTTCTGTTGCTGCTGTTGCTGCTGCTCCTGCTGCTGCTGCTGCTGCTGCTGGCGTCCTTCCATTGCCGCCGTTGCTGCTGCGCTGCTGCTGCTGCACGGGGTTGCTGCTGCTGCTGCTGCTGCACGGGGTTGCTGCTGCTGCTGCTGCACGGAGTTGCTGCTGCTGCTGCTGCTGCACGGGGTTGCTGCTGTTGCTGCTGCTGCAAGAGGTTGCTGCTGCTGCTGCTGCTGCACGGGGTTGCTGCTGCTGCTGCTGCACGGGGTTGCTGCTGCTGCTGCTGCTGCACGGGGCTGCTGCTGCTGCTGCTGCTGGTGGTTTGTGGGGTGCAGCAGCAGAAGTGCAGGCGAGCTGCATCGAGGGTTTGATGGCGAACTCTTGGAAAGCTTGGCAGCAAATTGTGAAAAGTGGAAAAGAAAATCAACTTTTCCTTTTCAACCCTCAAGCAGCAAAACGCCTCGTGCAGATCCTCCGAATCAACCAGAGAGTGGCCAAGTCCGAGGGTTTAGGGTTTAGGGTTTAGGGTTTAGGGTTTGGGGCTGGCCGCGCCGCCACACCGCCCCTGCTGCTGCTGTTGCTGCTCTTGCTGCTGCTATCGCTGCTGCTGCTGTGCTGCTGCTGCTATCGCTGCTGCTACTCCCACTGCACCCACTACACCACAACTGCTGCTGCTGCTGCTGCTGCTGCTGCTGCTGCTGCTACCACTGCTGCTGCTGCTGCTGCTGCTGCTACTACCACCAACACTCGTACTCCACTACTGCTACTCCCACTGCTACTACTGCCACCACTGCTGCTGCAACTGCTGCTGCTGCAACTGCTGCTGCTGCAACTGCTGCTGCTGCTGCTGCTGCTGCTGCTGCTGCTGCTGCAGGTCGACGGGGACTGCGTTTACGCCGCAGCTGAGTCGGCTGTATCCGGAGATGATGGAGATATACGGGGTGTATGGACAGCGCATTTTGCAAGAAGTGGCCGCAGGAGGGCCCGGAAGAGTTCGGCATTCAGAAATAAAAAACTTAATTATTTTTAAAAGAGAAACTTTGCATTTGTTGGAAGTTTTCACGACAGAAACCATCAAAGATCCTGCTGCTGCTGCAGCAGCAGCAGCAGGACCTGCTGCTGCTGCTGCTGCTGCCAGGAAGCAGCTCGTCACGGACATGCTCGGACAGGTCCTTCAGCCCATTCTCCAGGACTACAGGCAAACCCAAACCCTAAACCCTAAACCCTAAACCCTAAACCCTAGCCCCGCGAAACCCCAAACCCTACCCTTGCTGAGTGCAATTCAAACCCTAAACCCTGGAGGATTTGCATTGGGGAACTAAACCCTCGCAAACCCTCGGCGTGAACAGCGCAAACCCTTTCAAGCAGCAAAACCGGAAAGCCCTAAACCCTAAACCCTAAACCCTAAACCCTACACTGAGATTGGCTGCGCAGCGTCTGAAGCCCGTTAGACACTTGCAGCTGCGCAGGGCCGTGATCGCCTCGAAGGAGCTTTCATTTGCTGTCAAAGACTTTAGGGTTTGGGGTTTAGGGTTTAGGGTTTAGGGTTTAGGGTTTAGGGTTTGTGGGACTGCAGGAACAACACCCCAGACACGAGGGACTACGAAGTGCTCACGCTTATTTCTGTTCTCATGTCCCGCCTGGATACCCACATCACTTCGGTAAGATTCGAGGGTTTAGGGTTTAGGGTTTAGGGTTTAGGGTTTAGGGTTTAGGGTTTAGGGTTTTTGTGTGTGCGCAGGTCTTGCCGGTGATATTTGACTACATTTTTGACTGCACCCTTCAAATGATAAAGTCGGACTTCCAGAGGTAATTCGGCGGGGCCTCTGAAGGGAGCGGGGCCTCCTCTAGGGTTTAGGGTTTAGGGTTTAGGGTTTAGGGTTTAGGGTTTAGGGTTTAGGGTTTGCGCGCAGCTACCCAGACCACCGCGAGCGCTTCTACGCGCTGCTCAAGGCAGCCAACCAACATTGTTTTTCGGGTTTATTTTCTTTGCCGTCCACTCAATTAAAGGCTTTTGTGGAATCTTTAGGTAATTTAATTTAATTTAATTTAATTTAATTTAATTTGATTTAATCTTTTTCAAGTTTTCAATTCCATTTGTTCTTTTCGATTTTCCGAAATGTTCAGATTCACGTTTCCACCTTGGAGTGCCTCTTTTATTCTTCTTCCACTTTCAAATGAACTTTAATTATTTTATTTTTATTTTTTTAATTTTAATTTCTTTTTTTATTTCCGTTTTATTCTCCAGTTTCCGGACTTGTTCACTTCACCATTTCGCCGTCGGGTTTCCGTCCGGCGCTGTCTGGTGCTTGTTTTTTCTCGTTTTTCGATTTTTTTCGTTTATTTTTGTTTTAATTTATTATTTTTAATTTATTTGAGTTTAATTTCCGCTTTTTTCTGCACTTTTTTGCCGCTTTCCGCGCAGTTTGGGCGTTCAAGCACGAGCACCCGTCGCTGGCGGAGGAGGGTTTGCAGGTGACGCACGAGTTCCTGCAGCGGCTGATCGAGGGAAAGCGCGAGGTAATTGTCTTTTTTTGGATTTTAAATTGCAAAAACGGAAAAGTTTGTTTAAATTAAATTCATTTTCGCGTTTAATTGCTCCATTTTGGGGGTTTTTCCGCGAAGATCGGGGGCGTTCAGGTTGCGCCGCTGCTGCTGCTGCTGCTGCTGCTGCTGCTGCTGCGCTGGGGTGTACGCGCAGGTCCTGAACGACTTCTGCTGCAACTACTACTTCAGTTTGATGAAAGAAATACTTTTAGTTCTCACAGATCGTCTTCACCGCTCCGGATTTAAATACCAAACCCTCATCTTCATGTCTCTTCTCCGAATTGTTGCATTTAGACTCGTCGAAAACGAGCAGCAGGGACTCACCCAGGAAAACGTCACGTCAGCTGCTGCTGCTGCTGCTGCTGCTGCTAGTTCGGCTGCTGCTGCTGCTGCTCTGGGCGCCGCTGCTGCTGCTGCAGCTGCTGCTAGTTCGCCTGCTGCTGCTGCAGCTGCTGCTAGTTCGGCTGCTGCTGCTGCTGGTGGCTGTCTGGGCACTGCTTCTGCTGCTGCTGCTGGCCGTCTGGGCACTGCTGCTGCTGCTGCTGCTGCTAGTTCGGGTGCTGCTGCTGTTGGCTTTGGTAATGGTGGTGGCGCTGCTGCTGCTGTTTTTCTTGCTGCTGCTGCTAGTCCATTTCTTGCTGCTGCTGCTGCTGCTCCCCGTCTTGGCGCTGCTGCTGCTGGTGCTGCTGCTGCTGCTGCTGCTGCTAGCTGCCCATCCGGTCTAGCCATTTGCATTCACTTGTTACCCTTCGTTATTCGTTTATTTATTTATTTACTTTTATTTATTTATTTACTTTTATTTATTTTATTATTTATTTATTTATTTATTTATTTATTTATTTATTTATTTATTTATTTATTTTTTATTTGTTGTTTATTTTGTTGCAGGAAGAGCCTGATAGACTTGCTGTGCCGCAGCTTCCAAACCCTAAACCCTAAACAAGTGGAAGCTTTTGTTTTGGACCTTTTCAACTTTTGCGTCGACTCAAACCCTAGCCGTTTCCAGGAGCACATGAGGGACTTCCTCATCTCCCTCAAGGTCCAAAACTAGGGTTTAGGGTTTAGGGTTTAGGGTTTAGGGTTTAGGGTTTAGGGTTTAGGGTTTATGGGCTAGGGTTTAGGGTTTAGGGTTTGGGGTCTGCTTCTTGGATAATAATTTGTTCTTTTCATTTTATTATTTATCACTTATTATTTATTTATTATTAATTATTTATTATTTATTATTTATTACTATTTATTTTTTATTATTTATATTTATTAATTAATTTGTTTTTATTTTCGTGTTTTTAATTTTCAATTATTTTATTTTTCGTTTGTTTTCTGGTCCCTGTATGTGGCCCTCGTCACTCCTACCATCTTTGTCTATTTATTTAATTTATTTATTTATTTAATGTATTTTTTATTTTTTTATTTTATTTATTTTTTATTTATTTATTTTATTAATTTTTTTTACTTATTTTTATTTATATTTATTTATTTGGCCACCAGCATTTGTTGTTTCTAATTTATTAGAACACTTTTCTTTTTTATTTCTTTCCTCTACCCAGTAACCAATTAATTAACTATTTTAATTATTTCCTTATTTATATATTTACTAATTTATTTATTTATTTATTTATTTATTTATTTATTTATTTTAATTATTTTATTTATTTATTTATTTTTGTTTTTAATTTAGGAATTTGCCGGAGACAACGATGCCTTATTTGAGGCGGAGCGAAAAGAGGCGTTGGCGAGGGCGGCGGAGTTGGAAAAGCAAAAGAGAGGAATGGTATTTTTTTATTTTTAATTAAAATTAAAAATAAATAAATACTAATTGCATTTAATGATAATTAAATGCCATTAATGCCATTAATGCCATTAATGCCATTAATGGCATTAATGGCATTATTTAACTCGAAAAAAGCGAAAAAAAAGACAAGAGGAGAGTCTGAAGCAAAAGAGAGGAATGGCATTTATTTACTTTTAATGCAAATTAAATGCCATTAATGGCATTAATGGCATTAATGGCATTAATGCCATTAATGGCATTATTTAATTCGAAAAGAGCGAAAAAAAAGACGAGTGTCTGAAGCAAAAGAGAGGAATGGTATTTATTTACTTTTATGAAAATTAAAGTAAATAAATACATGCAATTAATGCAATTAATGGCATTAATTGCATTAATGGCGTTAATGGCATTATTTAAAAGCTGGAAATTCGAAAAAAAGCGAAAAAAAGACAAGAGGAGAGTCTGAAGCAAAAGAGAGGAATGGTATTTACTTGCATTTAATGAAAATTAAATGCAATTAATGCCATTAATGCCATTAATGGCATTAATGGCATTATTTAATTCGAAAAATGCGAAAAAAAAGACAAGAGGAAAGTCTGAAGTGGCCTTTTTTCGGGGAAATTGAAAAAGAATCCGTTTCACTCATTTTTTCACTTAAATGGCATCAAAAAAGGGATTTAATGGAGCATTTTGGCGGAAATAAACGAATTTAATGTTCAAATTTTGTGGAAATAAACGAATTTAATGTTTAATTTGCCATTTAGAATTAAAATTAATTCAAAAGACTTCAAAATAAACTTTTTTTGCAAACTTCTGCTGCTCGCAGGTTCCCGGGCTGCTGCCGCAGTACGAGAATATGGTGTCTATACGCAACATGGAGGACTGAACAACAAAATAAATAAATAAATAAACAAATAAATAAATAAATAAATAAATAAATAAATAAATAAATAATAATTAAATAATATTATTATTTAATTGCAATTTTAATTCAAAGAAATAAATCCAACAAATTCCCAACTCGCCGCCGCGTTTACTCCAATTGGAGGAAACTCCGCAGCACTTTTTCTTTGAATTTATTTTCATTTATTTATTTTTATTTATTTTTATTTATTTATTATTTATTTATTATTTATTTATTTTATTTATTTATTTATTATTTAATTTATTTAATTGTAATTAGAATTGTAATTATTATTATTTACCATTTATTTATTTTCGAACTGGCGAAGAAGAACCGGGCGGGGCTTTTCTCGCCAAGTAATAAAATTAAAAATAAATAAATAAATTTAACAAATAAATTAAAAATAATAATACATAAATTTATTATTTATTAAATTTAATAAATAAGTTTAGTAATTAAATTAATAAATGATAAAAAGTCAAAAAGATATAGTTCGTCTTTTACAGCTTCAAATGTTGTTTTCGAGCCGCTAGCTGGGCTCCTACTTGGCTAGCTAGCTAGGGCTAGCTAGCTACAGCTAGCTAGCTAGGGCTAGCTAGCTGAGGATAGCTAGGCGGGGCTAGCTAGCTGGGGCTAGCTAGCTAGGGCTAGCTAGCTGGGGTCAGCTAGCTGGGGCTACCTAGCCGGGGCTGGCTAGCTAGGGCTAGCTAGCTACAGCTAGCTAGCTGGGACTAGCTAGCTACAGCTAGCTAGCTGGGGCTAGCTACCTGCGCATTGCGTTCTTGTTTTCACGGGACCGGGGCAGCTCTGCTGTGGCCCTTTGCTAGCTTTCAGCGCAGCTAGCTAGCTAGCTAGCAAGCTAGCTAGCTATCTAGCTTGGTAGGTAGCTAGCTAGCTAGCTACCTAGCTAGCTACCTAGCTAGCCGAGACCGAACCTGCGGGCTACGTACTTCTAACAGGGTGCGACCAAGTACCTAGCCAGATGAGCAGCTAGCTAATGAATGGCTAGCTAGCCAGCTAGCCAGCCGGTTATCTAGCTAGCTAGCCACACGACGGTATCCATCCAGCTAGCCAGCCAGTTATCTAGCTAGCTAGCCACATCAGCCCGCCCAGCCAGCTCGCCAGTTAGCTACTTAACTACCTACCAACATGAACACAGCTAGCCAGCTAGCTAGCTAGCTAAATGGCCAGCTAGCTAGCCAGCTAGCTAGCTGGCCACCTAGCTAGCCAGCCATCTCGTCAACCAGCTAGCTAGCTAGCTGGCTAGCTAGCTAGCTAGCTAGCGATCTCGCCAGCAAGCCACCTCGCCGGCCAGCTCGCCGGCTAGCCAGCCAGCTAGCCAGCCAGCTAGCCAGCTAGCTAGCTAGCTAGCTAGCTAGCTAGCTAGCTAAATGTAAACAATAACGGGGGACTTGTCTTTGACGTCGAAAGCCCTCAGCCACAAACTCTCCGGAGGAACTCCGAATTTTCTTTGGAGACTTTTGCGGCCTTTTGGCGACAAAGAATGGCCCTAAAGAAACGCAAAATAAAAACTTTGAAAGATTTAAATCAATTTTAATTCATTTTGAATGCTTTTAATTCGTTTTAATGCATTTAAATGCATTTAAATGCATTTAAATGCGTTTGAATGCATTTAAATCGATTAAAAAGATTGAAAATGAATTAAATTGCACTGAACGGGACTTAAAACGGTTTAAAAATGATTAAAGGGATTTAAAATGATTAAAAACAGATTCAAAATGATTTAAAACGACTATGAAACAAAAACAAAAGAGAATTAAAAAGAATTAAAAGAATTAAAATAATTAAAAATGTTAAAATGAATAAAAGAAAATTAAAGATAATTAAAAACAATTAAAAAGAATTAGAAAGAATAAAAAAGAATTAAAATGACACAAAAGCCAAGGAGAAACAAAGAGATCGACAGATAACCCAGACCTAGCTGGCTAGCTAGCTAGCTAGCTAGCTAGCTAGCCACTTGGCTAGCTAGCCAGCAATCTAGCCAGCTAGCTAGCTAGCCACCTAACCAGCCAGCTAGCCAGCTAGCTGGCCAGCTAGCCAGCTAGCCAGCCAGCTAGCTAGCATCGTGGCTCACGTTGAGCTTGGCGTGGAGCTGCTGCTGCTGCTGCTGCTGCTGCTGCTGCTGCTGCTGCTGCTGCTGCTGCTGCTGCTGCTGCTGCTGCTGCGCGAGGGCCTGGACTTGTTTGTGTTGGGAGTTTTCGAGTTTTTGGAAAATTTGCAAAAATAAATCTTCCAACAGTTGGTGGTCAAACACCGGCAGCAAGTGCTCTTCCACGCGCACCAGCCCCAGGTCTGCGCAACACACAGCTAGCTAGCTAGCTAGCTGGCTAGCTGCTGGCTAGCTGGCTAGCTGGCTAGCTGGCTGGCTAGCTGCTGGCTAGCTGGCTGGCTAGCTGGCTGGCTAGCTGGCTGGCTAGCTGGCTGGCTAGCTGGCTGGCTGGCTAGCTGGCTAGCTAGCTGGCTGGGAGGGAGGGGGGAGAGTGCGGTGGCTAGCTACTTAGCCAGCCGGCCAGCTAGCTAGCTAGCTGGCTAGCTGGCTAGCTAGCTAGCTAGCCAGCTAGCTAGCTAGCTAGCTAGCTGGCTAGCTGGCTAGCTAGCTAGCTAGCTAAAATGTTTGTTCTTACACTTTTTGACAATGAGGCGGAGGTTGATTTCGTCGTGGATCAAATAGCCGTCAATGTCGATTTTAATTTTGGAGCCAAACAGCGGCTGCATCTCCGAGCCCTGCACCGCAAACCCTAAACCCTAAACCCTAAACCCTAAACCCTAAACCCTAAACCCTAAACCCTAAACCCTAAACAGTAAACAAGATGCAATAAACAATTAACCCGGAGCCGTTTCTCTTGAGTTCCTCAGCTTCAGCCGGCAAAGCCAGTCCCGTGGACCCCAAACCCTAGACGGCAAACCCTAAACCCTAAACCCTAAACCCTAAACCCTAAAAAACAAACAGTAAACCCTAAACCCTAAAGAATAAACAATAAACCCTGAGCCCAAAGCCTTTTTTTCCAAGCTCCTCAGCTTCAGCCAGCAACGTCAAGCCACTGAACCCAAAACCCAACCCCTAAACCCTAAACCCTAAACCCTAAACCCTAAACCCTAAACCCTCTTGCCTCAAGGGGTCTTCCAGGCTGTTTGTCTCTTTCGTAGAGCAGCAGCTTCTCAGCAGTAATTCCTGTCAAAGATGAGGGGCCCATTTTCTTCAACAGAATTTGCTTGAACTGCTCCACCTGAAACCCCAAACCCTAAACCCTAAACCCTAAACCCTAAACCCTAAACCCTAAACCCTAAACCCTAAACCCTGGGCCCGGGGCCCCAGCATCTCGCCTGCTCAAAACCCTAATGCTGAGCCCCTAAACCCTACCACGACCCCATTTGTATCAAACCCTAAACCCTAAACCCTAAACCCTGGCCCCATACCGTTAACTCCAAACCCTATCCCCTAAACCCTAACCCTAAACCCTAAACCCTAAACCCTAAACCCTCGCCGCAAACCCTAAACCTTATCCCCAGACCCTAGGAGCCGTACCCCGCCAAACCCTAAACTCTACCCCAAACCCCAAACCCCAAACCCCAAACCCCAAACCCCAAACCCTAAACCCTAAACCCTAAACCCTAAACCCTAAACCCTCACCGTAATAGTAGAGGAGTCGACGGGAATGCAAAGCCGGCTTTCTGCGTCTTTGACTTTCAGTCTAAAAATAATTTGTTTTACTTCTCCTTGGGAGCTTCCCCGCAGCTTTTTGATTAAGTCTGAACAAAGCCACGCAGCTAGCCACCCCGCCAGCTAGCTAGCTAGCTAGCTAGCTAGCGCAGCGAGCAGCTAGCCAGCCAGCTAGCCAGCTAGCCATCCCGCTATCCAGCCCACCGCCCAGCTACCTAGCTAGCTAGCTAGCTAGCTAGCTAGCTCGCCACAGCAGCTAGCTACCCACCTAGCTAGCTATCCAAATAGCTAGCTAGCTAGCCACAGCAGCTAGCTACCCACCTAGCTAGCTAGCTAGCTAGCTAGCCACAGCAGCTAGCTACCCAGCTGGCTAGCTAGCTAGCTAGCTAGCCGGGGCAGACTAGCTAGCTGGTGCTTCGGAACTGACCGTCGTTGAGCATATCGCTGAAGTCCAAAGGCGTTGGGCTCACGTAAAGAAAACAACGCGCCAGCTTCGGCTCCCCAGGAGGCTCCTCTGCACACACACAGCTAGCTAGCTAGCTAGCTAGCTAGCTAGCTGGCTGGCTAGCTGGCTAGCTGGCTAGCTGGATGGCTAGCTGGCTGGCTGGCTAGTTGGCTGGCTGGCTAGCTGGCTGGCTGGCTGGGTAACTGAATGGATAGCTAGCTAGCTACTTGGCTCGCTAGCGGGCTAGCTATCTGGGGAGCTAGCTAGCCAACTAGCTAGCTAGCTGGCCACTGCCAGCTGCCCGGCCAGGCAGCTAGCCAACTTCCCAGCCATTTTCAGCTGGCTGATTAGCTAGCCAGCCAGCTAGCCAGTCAGCCAGCCAGCTAGCCAGCCAGCCCGCCAGCCAGCCCGCCAGCCAGCCAGCTAGCCAGCCAGCCCGCCAGCCAGCCCGCCAGCCAGCCAGCTAGCTAGCCAGCTAGCTAGCTAGCTAGCTAGCTAGCTAGCCAGAAACCCACCCACGCCGTCGAGCAGGCCCGCAGCGCGGGCCTTCTTGCGAAGCTGGTCGGCGGGAATGGAAGCATTTATGAATTCGTCGCGAATGTAAAAAAACTGCTCCTTCGGAGTCGCCCCAGGGACTTTGTCCGCCAGCTGCAGCAGCAGCAGCAGCAGCAGCAGCAGCAGCAGCAGCAGCAGCAGCAGCAGCAGCAGCAGCAGCAGCAAAAAGTGGGTTGGAGAGCTGGCGCGAAGGCGGGAAAAAGAGGCAGCAGAGCTGGGGGTGCTGACTCGCGCGTGGGGGTCAAAGGAAGTCTAAAAAGGGGAAAAAGGAATAAAAAAGAAATAAAAAGAATAAAAAGAATAAAAAGAATAAAAAGAAATAAAAAGAAATAAAACTTCGCACAATTTGGCGAACTGTGTCCAGCGTCTCCCAGCCCTCGACGGTGGCGGTGTAGACTTTGTCGTCTCGGAGGTCTGTGGCTTCGACTTTGATTTTCATTTTGGAAAAAGCCAAAAACTGCGAAAAAAAGCCGCTGCTGAAGCTCAAGTCGCCGTTTTCAGGCCTCCAGGCGTCGCTGGAGCTCCTCTCGCCACTTTTCGACTTTTTATTTCTTCAAATGCGCTCAAAACGCTCCAATTTGACCCCAAAAACTCTTAAAAACTCGCAAAATGGCTTTCCGGAGCGCGGCGGTACCCCGTGGGGCTGCTGCTCGCCGCGGACGCCCGGCGACGGACCGACCGGCGGGGGCTGGCGCGCACTTTTTGGACTTCTGGGCCCGCCCTGGGGACTCTGGGGGCCTTTAAATTCGAAAATAAAGTTTTTAAATTCAAAAATAAACTCTTTTGAGCCTTTCGGCGGCGAAATCCGCGCAGAACGCACCCCGACTCTCAGGTGTACGGACACCCCAACCCTGTACACCGCACCACCGGTCCAAGTGCTCGCCCGCCGCCGTTCGCCGCCAAAACAAAGAAAAGAATTTCTTTAAAAGTTTCTTTTCGACTTTGTTTGTTTCTAAAACGCATTTTAATCCATTTAAACGCAAATTCCCCGCTTTTCCGCGCCCGCCGCGGCGTACTCGCAGCAGCAGCAGCAGCAGCAGCAGCAGCAGCGCGGCCACGGCTCGCCCACGCAGTCACTCCAGCTGCTGCCGCTTTAAACCCTTCGTGTGCCAAATTAAATTAAATTAATTTAATTTAATTTTAAATTAAATTAATTTCTCAAAATTAAAATAAAACGAAAATGAAGCCCAGCAGTCCGTACACCCCGGCGCCGCTCTTCGGCGACGTGCGTTCGCACCGCCGCAGCACTAAATTGAAATCCAAACAAAAGAAGTGAAGTTTAGTGCAAAAGAATTAATAAATTAATGTAATAATAATAATAAATAATAATAATAATAATAACAATTTAAATAAATTAAAAGAAACTGCTGGGGGATTTAAATTAATCAACTTAGGTGCCTATACACTGCAAACTCCGTCGCTGAAATTCGAAGATCTAGTCAGCCTTTGTTCCAGGTGTATGTACACCTCAGCAAAACAACTGCAAAGTAAATGTTTTTCAGATGGTAGCAGCAGCAGCATTAACAGCAGCAGCAGCACTAGCAGCAGCAGCAGCATTAGCAGCAGCAGCAGCATTAACACCAGCAGCAGCATTAGCAGCAGCAATAACAGCAGCAGCAGCATTAACAGCAGCAGCAGCGCTAAGAGCAGCAGCAGCATTAACAGCAGCAGCAGCATTAACAGCAGCAGCAGCGCTAAGAGCAGCAGCAGCATTAACAGCAACAGCAGCATTAACATCAGCAACAGCAAGAGCAAATGCAGCAGCATTAAGAGCAGCAGCAGCAGCAAACACTGCAGCAGCAGCAACAGCAGCAGCAGTTTCTTGCTTTGTGGGTCAAAGAAAGAAAGACAGAAAAACAGAAAGAGTCAAAAACAAAAAAAGATTTAAAAGGGAAAAAAAAATAAAAAGAAATAAAAAGAAATAAGAAATGAAAAGAAAAAAGAAATAAAAAGAAAAAAGAAATAAGTAGAACTAAAAGAATTAAAAAGAAATAAAAGGAAATAAAAACAATTATAAAAAACAAAAACAAAAAGACTAAAAAAGGAGCTGTGGCCCATTTGAAGTCAAAGGGAAAAATAAAAAACAATTTAATTTCAAATAAATAAATAAATAAATAAATAATAAGTTAATTAATAATGTAATAAATAATATAAATAAATAAATAAATAAATAAACTAGTCAACTTAATGAATAAACTAAATAAAATAATAAATAAATAAACAAATAAATAAATAAATAAATAAATAAAAACTAAACTAACTAAATAAATAAATACTTGAGAAGTAATAAATACTAATTAATAAATTAAAAAAACTGAAAAATAATAAATAATTATAAACTGTTTTTTTGGTTTTTAAATTAAAAATTGAAAATGAATTAAAGACAAAAGACAAATAAAAAAAGAAAAGAATTAAAAGAATTGAATGAAATAAAGAAAGGAAATAAAATAAAATAAATAAAATAAAATAAATAAATAAATAAAGTTCAACAAATTAAATGAAATAAAAGAAATAATAAAAGAGACAAATAACAAATAAACAAACAAAAGAAAGAAAAAGACAAATTAATAGCCAAGTGAGAAAGAGATAAAACGAAACAAATGCAAAGCAGCAGCGCGGCCCCAGAACAAAAGAGGCCGACAGGCGGGGGCGCCACTTCATTAATTTGTTCAAATTAATTTAATTTAATTTAATTTAATTTAATTTAATTTAATTTTATTAAATTAAATTAAATTAAATTAAATTAAATTTTATTTCATTCTCTGTTTCTTTATTTGCTGCTCGCCGGCCCTGGGGGCCCCAAATTGCCTCTTTTTAAATGTGTCTTCTTCGCTTCTCTTGCTGCCGAATCTGCTGCTGCTGCTGCTGCTGCTGCTGCTGCTGCTGCTGTTGCTGCTGCCGAATCTGCTGCTGCTGCTGCTGGATCTGTTGCTGCTGTTGCCGTTGCCGAGTCTGTTGTTGCTGCTGCTGTTGCCGAATCTGTTGTTGCTGCTGCTGCTGCCGAATCTGCTGCTGCTGCTGCCGCTGCTGCCGCCAAAGCTGCCCCTGCTGTTGCTGCTGCTGCTGCTGCTGCTGAATCTGCTGCTGCTGCTGCTGCTGCTGCTTCTATTGGAGCTTGAAAAGCCCTTCCCCCCTCTTGCCAGTGCTCGGGCAGAAATGTGGTTTGGATTTGTTAGCTTCAGCTTGTGCTGCTGCTGCTGCTGCTGCTGCTGCTGCTGCAGCTGCTGCCTCGCCAAGTAGAGGGCGTCCTGCAGCGGGGGGAGGTGCTGCGTGAGCTCAATCACGAACCCCCTGCTGCTGCTGCTGCTGCTGCTGCTGCTGCTGCTGCTGGCTTTGCTGCTGCGGGCGTTTGCTGCAGTGTGGGGCTGCTGCAGCAGCAACTCTTCGAATTGTTGTTTTGCTGCTGCTGGGACTTCGAAGAGAGCTCCGTCTCCCTTGAGTGTGAGGGTCATTCCCTGGATTTGGTCGATGAGTTGTTCTGCTGCTGCTGCTGCTGCTGCTGCTGGGGTGCCTGCTGCTGCTGCTGCTGCTGCTGCTGCTTTTGCTGCGCTGCTCTTCAGCGCCCGCCACACATAAGCACTGGAGCCTTTTAAAGGAACTTTCGGAGGAGGTTTAAAAGTCAAAGTGTAGGAGACAAAGCCGGGTCTTCCCGAGAGTGCGGAGATGTCTGCTGCTGCTGCTGCTGCTGCTGCTGCTGCTGCTGCAGTGTCTGCTGCTGCAGCAGCAGGGGCGCCGGCGCCGGGCTGCAGCAGGTGCAGCAGGAGGGTCTCGACGAGCTGCTGCGGCTGCTCGGTCTGCAGCAGCTGCTGCGCGGCTGCGGCGACGATGGCCTGCAGCCCCTGCTGCTGCTGCTGCTGCTGCTGCTGCTGCGCTGCTGCTGCTTGGGGGGGGGGGTCGAGGGAGAGGGAGGGCCAGAGTTGCTGCAGCTTGGCTTTGCTGCGGGCCTGCAGCAGCAGCTGCTGCTGCGGCACTCCGACTCTGTAGAAAGAAAAGTTTTCTTTTGCTTCGAGAGCAGCAAGAAAAGCAGCATCTTTGGGGGAATAGAGCAAAATGCTGCAGCCGCTGCTGCTGCTGCTGCTGCTGCTGCTGCGGCCCGTGCGGCCCGCGCGGTGTACGTACACCGCAGCGTCCCGCGGCGCAGACAACTGCAGCACCAAACGGAGACACTTTATGTCCAAACCTCTAGCAGCAAGATCTGTAGCGAGGAGACATTTAATTTCTTTTTTTTTGAAAGCAGCAAGAGCTGCTTCCCGCTGCTGCTGCTGCATGTCTCCGTGCAAGCAGCAGCAGCAGCAGCGCAGCGCCGGCAGCAGCGACAGCTCGCACGCCTGCTGCTTCGTTTCGCAGAACACCACGCTCAGGCCCTCGTCTCCCGCTGCTGCTGCTGCTGCTGCTGCTGCTGCTGCTGCTGCTGCGCCGGCCGGCGCCCCTGCTGCTGCTGCTGCTGCGCCCCAGTCAGCAGCAGACCCGTACAGCCACAGCAGCAGCGGCAGCACCGCGGCCCGCGAGCTGTACGGACACTGGATCGCGAGGTGCGTTATCGTTGCTGCTGCTGCT